GATTTTTATGAATCGAGTTACCGTGTCCACCTTTTCAACATAAATTAAAATGAAGTTATGAGTTTTGTGTGTTTCACATAAAAATGAATAAAATTTCAAATTATCTTAACTGTAGGATTGAATAACTTTTTTTCAGATTTCATTGAAAATAATGTTAATAATTAAATATGTTCATCAATTATAATTGTTACTGAAATATTCTATTTATTTCTTTTGCATTATTTAGAGCAAGTTAAACGTCAGCGTGATATGATGGGTTAAAAATCAAATTGTTCATTAAATTACACTAAAGAAAATTGTAATAAAAATACACAAAACAAGACCGAAAAAACAATTTTATCCACAGTGAATATTATCGATCGAAGTGATTTGTATTCATTGTCAATAGTAGAAAAACAGAAATAAATGTCAGATTATACACCATTTTATATCATGTAAATGATTATCTCAGTTTTTTATTGTATCATATAATATTCATAATAAATCGATCTGGTAATTGTTCATCTAAAACTTTTTTTCGTCTCAAAACTATTCAGTTCACTGCAAGAACACTTGTTTTAGTAAGTAACCATGAATTGAGTTAAGACACATTCCCAATAAGTAGGAAACATTTAAGTAGTGTAACATGAAAAATCAAAGAAAATTCCTGGTCCTTGAAGTGGCAGATAAATGACTCAGTAGGTAGCAATATTAAAATTGCTGAAGAAATGAGAAGTAATGGACATTTATGAATGTCGATCAAACCAATTGGTTAAATCACAATTATATAAGTTAACCCTCTATTGTCGAGGGCAATTTTACATTGGTTCTCAGAAACAAGGAGACTGCTCACGTGTTAGTATTTTGACATGAACAGTTCGGCTCAATCCCGTGATGCAGCCACACAGGTACCTGACAGCCTGGTGGTTTTAGACCACAGGTGTCTACTAAGCATTGCTCATGCATCATGGGACAATCGAGTAAACAATGCTGTCTTTAGGAAACGAGTACTAGGTAGGAATGGTAAGTCAATAGATGAAGTATTGAACTTCATCAGTTGAGGTGGTTGGGACATATGTTATAAATGCCTAACCACCGACTGTCCCGACGAGCTATGCTCTGCGATGTAGGAATAGGTTGGAAGAAAGCTAGGGGCGGCCAAACCAAGACATGGCGCAAATCCATGACAACTGCATTGAGTCATGTTGTCAAGTACGGACTACCTGGTTGGTGTCCACAAGCTGATAGTCACCGATGGTTAGAGACCCTGAATGATATGACTCACAACCGTTTGCGATGGCTCAAGTGCATTCATTCTTTGTGCTCTCTCAAATCCCAAACTTTTTGATATCTCGTCACTTTATAAGTTTATTTCACTAGATTATACTTCTTAAATAATATCTTCGAACCCTAATCTCTCCGACTACTGCTAATATCTTTACTATGGGATTTGAATTGACTATTGCGTCTCAGTGCAATGTGGTATGGTAACTTGAACTGATGTATGTGCGTACGAAGTTCTATGTTGTTGACCGAGTGACAATTGGTTAAATTTAACATATACGATACGAAGGTTATAGATCCATTGTTCCGTACTCCATATATTAGTCAATGCTCATTATTGATTCGTCATGATGGGACTGAACATAAATTTATTCAATAGAATCAATGTTTTTCTTACATTTTGCGATTATCATTCATTTTTATCAGTAGTGATTTTTTCAGTGTGAAAATAACAAAGACCGTTACCAATGTTCTAACTACTAATACTGAAGTTTCTATGTTGGAATCCATTGTCTTCAATGTATATTCATCATAAGACATTGTGGAAGAGACTGTATATACATATCAAGTGATTTAAATGTCAACTTTTAGAGAACATGTTTATAATGCAGCCAGGAAACGTTCATCAACTTAGCATTTGAAATCAGTGTAAAAATATTCCAAATCATGCATACATCATGCGCTATTTGCAAAGAATGAACAGTGATCGGACACTTCATAATTTCACACCGTGTAGGCCGTAGATGTCATAAAATATTCACATCATAATAGGTTTAAATAAACTTAACCATTCTGCCGCTGTAGGTACCAAGTTACTGATTATAAGTGTGGAAATTATTATCAGGAGTGTAAAAGATTTATCTACATCTACTATATTAAGAATGTCCACTTCTCAGAAAACCATAACATAATTGGTATCTTGTTTAAACACTACTTACTGATAGCAGCGGTTGCATAAGCTGCTAATAGTTTAGGTCTAAAATAAAATAAAAAATCGTCACTAATTATTATCAGCTAGTTACATTAATCTGGATGAAAAAAATTTTCCTACAATTTAAATCATGATCATGTTAAGCATACTCCGTGCATAAATTTTTGTTCTGTCAACAACAAAATTCCAATCAATTTATGTCTCAGTAATACCAAATCGTGCCAAATATAAAATCTCATTCGAGGAATTTCAGCAATAAACACAGTATTTAGAGTACGATTATTAATACAAAGTCAAGAAAAAATTTCTAATGATTTTCCTTTCAAATAAACAAACGACACTGAAATGACTTATCTATCGTAAAGCTTCTCTGCTACAAGGGGTTTTTTACACCATTGACTTGTTTATTATCATTCACGGACAAAAATGAATAGAACCTACTACTATCGCTTACAAAAGCAATCATCGTTTAGTAAAAGTTTGAGTGATTTATTGTAGCATAAACCATCTCCAGGGTGTTAGTCTGATCATATGAATTCGGAGTACATGACCCCTAGGAGCAAGCGATTTGGTCAGATTGACTGAACTGCAATCGTGCACGGGGGTATGGATTCGCAAACCAAGAGCAGCATCCCTACAGCTGAGGAACAACTAGAACTTAAAATAACTGTCAGTCAACAAAGTTAGAATCATCAAAGCCGACGTTTAAGTAGTTCTGTTGTACGGAGGTTGAACTTGGAGAACTATCTCGAACTTCATCAGAAATGTACGATTACTTATAAACGCCGGTTCACACAAAATACAGCAGATCCAGTGGGTAGAAATAATTAGCCGATGGAGACAGCAAGTAACACGTGGAAATAACTAGAGGGGAGAACAAGGAGAGTTGTTTGAAGACTTCTGATTAGTGGCCTACACCGCAAGAGCTAACACGATTACGTTAACATACAAGCAAGTTTTTCCCCACCTAAGAAACAGGTTAAGAGCCATTAGATCATAATTCTTGAAGTAAATGTCGGTGAGCCAATTATATCCTACAAACCATACTACTATAATAAGTAGTATAAGTTATGCAAACAAATTAGTTCGGACAACTGAGACCAGATTCCCTAATGCTTTCTCGTAGTCAAGTTGATGCGTCCCATTCAGTTGATTTTCCCACGATGGTCCAAAATGTTGCAAGTTAGTCGGTAACGGAATCCAGCCTGTTGATCTCGAAATTTGGCCAAAGAGAAGAAAGATAGCGAATGCATTCGTGTTACGGCAGACAATTCTGATGTCATCCAAAGCCAAAGTTTCCATGCCATGTCGCGACCAGACTAAGATCAAAGGAGCCGAAGTAATTGAAGTACTAATCAAAATGAAGAAGACTAAACATTGAGAACTTGGTTCGAGAAGGAATGAAAAAGTATACGTGAGGGAATACTAGAATAAAAGGTCTAAAGGAAGATGTACTTTAGCGCAGGTTGCCTTACCAGGTTAGCATAAGATGGAAATAACAAGAGATCGAAATAACGTAGCAGCAATGATAAAAAGAAAGACAATCTCTTGGGAATATGGTTTGAAACAAATTGGGAAATCATGCATGGAGACATTAAGATTCAATATCAAGAGGACGATGTAGAGCGCCACTGTAAACCATTGACCCACACCGCCGTCTCCAAAAAGTTATCACGCGAACTTCAACTACGTAGACTGCATTTATCGAAATGACTCAGACCGACAGTCAGTGACTTCATGAGCTGACACCTTAGTTTGCCACCTGTAGTTTTCTTCTAACCTACTTCAATATTCAGACTAACTCCGAAACAACACTTTACCATTACAGAGAAGTGCAGAGCATGTCTGTATTAGAGTGCCTTCTTTGAGCAAATCATTTGAACTTGACGATTATGACAGTTCAACATCAGGCATATATATTACAGCGTCTCAGTGCACTTACGTTTTTTCAATGAAAGTTATAATACTCTTGATATGAACAGAAAAGACGCTACATGGACATTGATAAGTTACCATAAAGAAGCCCGTTCATTATTTAGCTAAGAGTAAGAAATTTCGCTACTTCCTCACAAGTCTCTGCCTAGCTTGTGTTGATAATTCGATATCCTTGAGTTGTTTTACTTTAATTTGTTTGGAAATCTTACTTCATGACGTCCTAGTCACAACATATGTGGCAAGACTGATAAATGTTTCTACATTTGACTTTAATATATACTACAAATTATTTGTCAGTCCTAACCACGATTTTCTTTACTTTCAATGCTCATCTTTGGAATATACATTTTTTGTTTTAATATTGTTTTTCAAAATAAAACCCTTGCAAGGTTTTTAAGAGTGGATAAATATTCATGGTTACAGACCATAAATCTTCTGAAAGAATTATTAATGAAACAGTCAACTCTGTTTTTTATCTCAGACTTTTGAAATGTGAAAGCGTCTTGATTGTTAGAGCTTAACATTGTCAGAGGGGTCGGTAACTGATGGGAAATCTGGAAGATTACACAGCTTTCATTGATAAGTTTAAATCAAAACATAGCTACATGTCGATCTTCAAGACTGTTTTTAATGAACGAAATAACCTCAGTACATTCGCCATAGTTTATGCGCTAATCTGATAACAGAGGACCTTAAGATTTCAATCCCAAAAAGTTGGTTGTTATGAGTAAAGTACTTCTTTATAATGGTCCAAGATAGATTTGTTTTATTATGCTAACGTTGCTACTGCGTTAGTTAAATTTCCTAACAGGAATAAGATGAATGGAGCTTTATTGATTTCAATGAAAAATCCACCAATGAGACAAAGTAACATCCGCATAGAATAAAAGAATAAGATAGAAAATAATAATAATATTATTATTATTATTATCTTTCTAAGCGAAACGATTTTATTTTACCATTTATTAAGTTTTACTTTCCACAAGCATAAAAATGGTAAGGCGGAAATTTTTACAGAGGATGGTGTGTGAACAGTGGAACATTTTCGACCGATATTCATAATTCAATCGGTGGAACAGACAACAATCGCCAAACAAGTCAGCCAGCTGCAGTGAACGCAGAGCCTAGCAATATCATGCATTAACCCAAATCGTTTCAATAAAGAATTTTAATCCAAATACAACCATGAAATAAGATATTGTACAAAATAGTGTCTTCTTATAAACATCTTTGCATGAGATAGACGTTCATATAATCCTATTTTGTAAAACGAAAAGAAAAATAATCACAAAATGAACCATAATAAGTGTTAGTTATAAAAAAAATACATACGACCAAATAAATACTCAGTTTTAAGCCACACTTTACATGTGAGAACATAGTGATACTAATCTGCTGCTTAAACCGTAGTAGATAGGAAAGGATTTGAAAGAGGGACATAGTGACTGAAATATCAAACAATTTAACGACTAAGCTACCAGATATTAACTTGTTTAACTCATAACTAATTGAGTGTAACGTTATAGAAGATATTTTGAAAGTATTATAGAAACGTAATGACGTGGTTTCACTACAAAGCAACCAAACCAAAGATTAGAAAAGGTCAACCCTAAAAATTTCACACCTCACGGATTTCCATCTCCTTGGGTAAGGGTTGCCCAATAAGGGCTTTAAAAAGAGTGTATCTAGTACTCAAAAAACTTCTCGTAAAAAGGCCGTGCGTGACCGGCCTCAAGCAGTTATCCTTTGGGCTCTGCGGTCACGCACCCAGGTCTCTAAGACCAACACTGATCTGTCTTCCTTTTCAGGTCCCTCAAGAAACAACCTTCCACGGTGTGGGCAGCCGGGAAGTGATATCCGCCCTCATACCCGTAAAAGCACATGAGATCAAATCGGTCAAAATCAAATCCTTCCTACACCCACACATACCTCTCTTTTCTCCACAACTAACTCTACTCACATTCCCTTATCTCACTGCACAGCTAATGCAAACGATGCGAGTTCACGAAACGTCATTCCTCGTCTCTTGAAACCCCGATCTAGACCACATGTTGGAGCTTTTAATATACGGACATTGTGTCAAATAGAGCAACAGGCTTCCTTAGCTAGGACTTCAGAATCTCGTGCCATCGATGTATGCTGTGTCTCGGAAACGCGCATAAATGATCCTAGTAAAATTATTAATCTGAGTTCTTCTTGTCAAAATAAAGAAGCAGCTCGATTTACTCTTCGTGTATCTGGAAGACCTGATACTGCATCCCGAAGTCTCGCTGACGTAGGCATAGCATTGAGTCCTAGGGCAGAACTAGCTCTCCTAGACTGGATCCCAGTGGATATTCGCTCATGCGCAGTCCGACTAAAAGGGACAGTAAAGACTCGACGTTGCCTCTTCGTCATATCTGCCTACGCCCCCACTCACTGCAGCTCAGACGATGTGAAAAATGCGTTCTACATAAAACTTTCGGGCCTCCTCCAAAAAGCTAGGCGTTCTGATATAGTAATAACGACTGTTGACTTTAATGCTCAAGTAGGTAGACTAAGTGAAAACGAAAAACACCTTGGTGGATGTTATGGTGTCGCGGCTCAGAGAACAGACAAAGGCGACCGTCTGTTGCAAGTATGCCCAGATAACCACCCATTTCTAGCAAACACTAACTTTAGGCATAAGGAAAATGATCTCTTGACATGGCGACCCCCAAAGTCATCACAACGCTGGACCCAACTAGATCACATTTCCATCAGCCACCGATGGAGGGGTTCGATAGATTACTGTCGTTCGTTCTGGGGCACATCTTTAGATTCAGATCATGCTCTAGTGCCAGCGCGTATTTGTTTGCGCCTTACTGGACGCCAGAAAAATATGGCAAGAAAACCTCTTAGGGTTCTACCTAATGATAGCAAAGCTAAGGATATATTTCAGGAGCAACTAGAAAGACAGTTAGGCGACCTTGCAAGTGATTTCCAAAAGGCTGTGGAAACAGCAGTGATATCTGCTAGTAGGGTAAACCGTAAGGCTAGGATGAAGCCGTGGATCTCAGTAGCATCTACCGAAAACGCATCCCACATGGCTCTGAACATGATGAAGAAAGAAGTCAGCTTAAGCGCAGGCTGATAAAAAGACTACGCAACGACCGCGAACAGTGGTGGGTGGCGAAAGCAAAAGCGATGGAAAAGTCAGCGGTAATATGCAACAGTAGACAGTTACAAAGCAAACCGGTATTAGAAATCCATCTGTTAGCGAAACTATCTCAGAAAAGGATGGCTGTATCATTCATTCTCAATCCAGGAGATTGGATCGATGGACAGAAGACTTTAGGGATCAGTTTAACTGGCCTTCAGCCACACTTCGGTTGCACACGATCCCCAGTCATCCTGAGTGGCAATTCGATTTAAGTCCTTCTAGTCTTTATGAAGTTGAGGAAGCTATAGGAAATCTAAAGCGAGGTAGAGCAGCAGGTCCTGATGGGCTTACCCCTGAGAGTTTTAAGGATGGTTGACCGGTTTTAGCAGCTAGGTTGACTGAGATCTTAGGTAGAATCTGGGAACTGGACGTAAACCCATGACTATAACCTAGCTGTTTGAAATAGACACACAAGAAAGCATAACTAGGATAATAGCCATGACGATTTGTTACCAAACCCGAAAAATCACAGTAATTGCTAAAGTAGGCTATTCATCATACGTTTCTGATTGATCATGGGGCAAAGGGACAAGGTAGATCGAACATGTTCCATACTATTAGTATCGTGATTCCCCTTCGAAATAAACAGCCTTATTATTATGTGCTTTATTAACGAACGACCTCTCTGTGATCGCTCTAATTGCGGTGTCCTTGTCAATGGATACCTATTTTGGTTCTATTTTTCCTAACTGAACTCTGTGTCATTACATATAACTATAGTCCAGTTATTCTACTAAATTTTCTGGCACAACACTTGGAGTTGTTTCACTATCTCTACACAGCTCATTTTCTCATTTTGTGGAGCACATTTAACTTTGACCCGCTTCGATTAATATTACTATATCCAGTCAGTCAGCTACAAAGTACAACTTCCAATGTACGTACATTAGTTCAAGTCGCCATACCAAATCAGCAAGGGGACGCAACTGTCAGTTCAGATCCCACCATAGTAGAGGTAGTAAAAGTACTAGTAGTAAGAGGAGAGATCAGGGTTCGAAAATATTATTCAAGAAGTATAATCTAGTGAAATAAACTTAAAAAGAGAAAGATACAGGTGATGAAGAATACAGAGGATTAGGATTTGAGAAGAGACAATGATTGGATGCACCTGTGATATTGCAAACGGTCTTGAGCCATGTCATTCATGGTCTCTAACCATCGATTATTATCATATTGCGGACCCCAACCAGGTAGTCCACATCTACCAACATGATTCGATCCAGTTGTCAGTGACTTCATGGATTTCTGCCATGTTTTGGTTTGACTGCCACTGACTTCCGTCTAACCTACTCCTGCGCCACAAAACATAGCTCGTCGAGACAGTCGATGGTTGGGCATACGTAACACATGCCCCAACCATCTCAACTGATGAAGTTTCAATACTTCATCTATTGATCTGCCATCCCTACCTAGTACTCGTTTCCTACCGAAGCATTGCTTGCTTCGTTGTCCCAAGATACACGGTCAATGCTTCAGGCGCACCTACGATTGTTGCGTCTTCACTAAGTGGAAACGAAATTCCGTTAGACTTTCAAAAATGCTTTAATTTTAAAGTTTCGTGTTTACACTTGGAAGCTTACTTCTGTAGTATCCATAATAATAATTAGTATCAATTGGGTATACTATGTAATCCAAAATTTACCTAGGACTACAGTTTACTTACTAATCTGAAAACCTATACACAGTGTGAAACACAATACAATTTCACAAAAGATCAAAAATGAAAATGCGTCACTTACAATTCCCATGAACTATACAATCTGGTTTACAGCCTTTTGGATTATCTGCAGGACTTTCTGAGCGTGAGAAACGGCCGAGTCGAACAAAACATTCCATACGTTGACCTCATCACTTTTATTTGCACTTGTTATATTTATAGTGTCCCAAAGACCCGTTAAAAAAGCATTAATTACAGAAAGATCTACTATATCACCCTGAGAAACAGTTATGTGTACAGGACCAGCATCTAAATCCCAAATGTCTAACTCTCGTTTCGTTGGCTGAGCAATAATAGGGATTGTCTTCGACTTCCTTCCGGAGACTGGGCGGGGAACGAAACAGAAAGACAGTGAAACAGGCCATTCATTCACTTGTAAAGATTTCGTCTCCTTTAAAGGTCCTGGTTTATATAATTCCAAATAGGATCCTACAGCCTTTTCATCCGTAACCGCATACAGCTTTGTCCACTTTGCTGTACAAAGACTAACAAGTGCAGCGGGGAGACAAGCATCTAGTAAGCACCCATCGTCTTGCAGCACAAAGATATCAAGCTTCAATGTGTAGGAAGCTGCTGGCGTAAGTGCGTTTGTGTCGTCAATCGGGAATATGTTTAACTGGTTTTCAACAGAAGGAAATGCAAAATTATTAAGGAGCCTTTGAATTGTAGAAGACAGCCACTGCGCACACTTAGGTTGTGAAGCATTCAAACGTATACCTCTATGGCAAAGACCAGCAAACTCGACGTTACAGGCTATGCTGCCTGAATTTCCGCTTTCTGGAATTACCTTGACCTACAACTGCTGGAGTTAAAACCCAAAAGGTACCTTTACACCTGCAATCACCTGAGTGTTTCCAACCTTCACAAGAGCCGACCCATGACAAGAAGTTAAGACACCAGAAGCGACGTTCAAATCAGCGAATTCGAGACAATCCCTGTCTTCTATTCTAATTTTTTGTTCAAACAGTTGCTCGAAAATGGCATATGGTTTGAGGAGGTTAAGATCTCCCATTCTAAGATGTCAAGTCTCGGAGTTTACCTGCAAAAGAGTTAAGTGATTAAAGTATCGAAAAACTTAGTCAATTACAGAACGCTTATGAAGTTATCTCTCAGTATCACACGGTTTAAACCTCCTCGTCAAACAATAGGGATCAAAAATGTTATTTTTACACCATACATATATAAATAGGAACAGACCAGGACGAGAACTGTGATTGTAATGCAAAAGTACTAGGGTAAGCAACGTCAGCGATGTGAATATGGTAACACTGATCCGACAAAGCAAGAAAATATACTGGTGCCAGGATTCCTGTAGAACTATACGGTTTCCATTGGGTTGAGATAATACAAACTATGGACATAATTGATCGCATCTTCGTTACAAGCCAGATGGATCATCAATGGATAAATACGTTCATCAAGAACAATTCCAGAGGAAATACACACGGTGTCTGCAACGAAGAGGCGTATATTCGTGTTTTAGAGAGACAAATTTTACGCATAAATGACTACCTCTCTACATTTGGAAATCCAGGGGAATCTTAGTTGCAAGAACCGAAAACACTAACTGCTGATAGTAGTTTTAAGTCCAAAATTGGTTGAATGCGCGGCTTACTTTTGTTAGACAAGATTTACGATCTGAGCACAATTCGTGATGATCAAACTCTTCCAACCATAGACAAGCTGTAAGCGTCCACTACAACACAGTCAGTTTGTCAAATGCAACGTAGAGCCTAGCACCAGTTAGCGTGTTTCTACACAGAGACATGAAATTGATAGACCAAAGCCCGTGGTATTTGAAGTAGAGACAGTATTAGTTGTAATAAAAAAGATTAGTTATTGAAGATAAATTCCTAATCATAACTTTTAACGATAACTTATAATCCTGATTTCGGGAAAAAGCACCTTCTCCCTTAAACTTCGTCAAAGCTGACTGCATTTAAAATATTGTCCTGGTTCATTTTACAAAATAATCTTACTGGATAGAAATATAACCCTCAAAGCGATAGCATACAAATAGGAGTAAGGACATACTCAAAGTTGTAGGTCACACAATATCCCAAAACGTGCAAGTCCAAGACCTTCACTTCAAACTACTAAAACAAAGTTTATTACCTACTTACGCTTGTCAACCCCAATGTAGAATAGGCCTCCAATTAGCATTCTCGTACTTACTCTATAGTGAGCCTTCCTTTCTAGTTCTATCTAATTGTTGTTCATTCTTCTCATGTGTCTCCAATTTTCAGCGAAATGTGTTCCTTACCCTTCCTCTTTTCCTTTAGCATTGAAGATTCTAAGCGAGGGTCAGTCCTGTAACGGAGTTAGGTGCTTTCCTAAGTGTTTCCTATGTACTTCCATCGCTTCTTCCTGATTTCTCTCTCCCCTGGAATCAAGTTTGTTTTCTCCAACAGTAGGTTACTGTTGATGTTGTCTGGCCAACGGATCCGAAGTATTTTGCATAGACAACTTTTGGTTGGTGCATGCTGTGTTGTCTCACTGAATCTTGCTTTCCCCTTTATGTATGTTGAGATCTTCTGCTTCTGCTGAACTAGTCGTATTCTTTCTCATTTATTGTCGTGCATGTGATAGAAAACCCATATCAACTACGAAGTCCCGATCGTCCAGCTGCATCCTCACTGTCCAATATATACCGTGCTATCTTCCAGATAATGACGTTATCATAACCCAGTAGATCGCCAGGAGTAAAAGAAAGGGTGTGGGTAAGCGAGCTCACCTGAGACCGCCATTCAATTCGAACGACTCTGCATTTGTTGCGGGTGCGATAATCGGGCCAGATCATCTGCCAATTTCAAATCCGACGACTGCGTATAAGCTGTTCACTGGAGAAAGTGAAAGGGTGTGAGTAAGCAACCTTAACTGACACCGGTCTTCAATTCGAATGAGTCTGTGAGCTGTCTTCCATGCACTATTTTGCAGTTTAATCCGTCATAAGAGTTCCGTGTGATATTGACTACCTTCTGAGGCAGGCCGTAGTATAGAAGAAGCCTCCATAGTGTCATCCTGTCAACACTACCAAATGCTTTCTCATAGTCAAGGAAGCTGATGGTCCGAAATGTTGCGATTTGTTCGTTACACGATCGATCCTTGCGAAATCCAGCTTGTTGATCTCGAAGTTGGGCTTCTGCAGAGTCTTACATTCTGTTTAACAATACCCTGTTGAAGACTTTGCCTAGTATTGAGGGAAGAGTGATTCCTCTGTAGTTTTCACACTTTCTGAGATCGCCTTTCTTTGGTGATTTGAACAGCTATCCTTCTTTTCATTCTATCGAGACTTGTTCTTCATCCCAAATCCTTTTATAGTGTGTGGAGTGTTGAGCAGTTGCTGCCACGTCTGCTTTCATTTCCTCTGCCGGAATGTTGACTGGTACTGCCGCTTTGCTGCCTTTGATTTGACTGATGGCCATGCTGAATTTTATCAGGAGTACCATCGGAGCTCCATTCCCTGTGATGGTACTTCCTGTGGCCCAGAACCTCCTGACATGTTAAAGTGATTGTCTCCTTAATCCCTTCCCAATTGTTCTCCAAGGTTGTTTCCTCTCCATTGAGTATATCGTGCAAGGCCCGGAACTTATTGCTGAGGGCTACCTTGAATTGACTGAGCTTTCCAGTATCCCGAAGAAAAGTTGTATTAAACTCCTGTGATGTTTTCTGCCACGTTGTCCAGTGTTTCTTGAGTTCCGGGTTCATCTTGGTAACCAGCAGGTGATGATCTAAGGCTATATCACTCCTCTCACAATATTCATGGTCCTTCGGAACTTTTTATTAATACAGATATGGTCGATTTGGTTTTGTGTGGTGTGATCCGGTGAGGTCCATGTAGCTTTGTTTGTGAGTGTGTGGGAATATTTGCCGCCAAAGAGCAGCTTGTTGAAGGCACATAGGTTTGCAAGTCTCGCATTATTTTCGTTCTTTCTCCTATCCCATTTCGTCCCATGATGTCTTCATATCCATTGTTGTCCATGCCAACCTTGAACTTTAGGTCTCCCATCAGAATAGTCGAGTCCTTTGATGAGCATCTCTCGACGATTGCCTGCAGCCTCTCGTAGAATTGATCTTTAACGTCGTCACTGTAGTCGTTGGTAGGTGTGTAGCATTGGAAGACGTTTATTGTAATCTCTTCTTTCTTTGTTTTGATGGGTCTTTGATGATCTTGTGTCCACGAGGTTCCCATCCTATCAGTGGTGCCTTTTGTTTTTGTTTGGACAACATCGATGCAACTCCTTGTGTGTAGGGCATTTTCTTCTTCATGTCTGGAGTGCAGCCGCATCCCTCCTTAACCTGATCTTTCTTAAGCATCCAGCATTCCATGGGTTTGACTTGTTCTAAGTACTGCCAGGATGTATTTTTTCTTTTCATCATCAACTTCAGTGGTCCTGCCGGTATCTCACATTATACCCATAATAATAGTGGATCTGGTTGTCAGAAGAGGCTACGGAAAAACTTGTTTTCCTTAATGGGTTGTTATAACTCTCTAAATTGAAGACCTTTCAACTGCCAGGACATAGTCTAAATGGTTTGAATGTTTTGTTCTGGTAAGTGTTTATTGATGAGTTGATTTTCTAAGTGAGAGGGTTGCTAACCGGATGCCTAGACCTGTTTGTTTATCCGGGCTTTGGTCTTGCCGTAATCCTAGGAGAGCTGCAGACAGATTCATAGGTGTCAATTTCTCTTACAAAACACTTTTACTTTGCTACAGGAGAGGTACTGAGTAGTAATTTTCCTAACTGATACAGGCCTTTAATAAGACTCACTACAACTGATTAAATATCCTCTGCAGTCACAGAATTTTATCCTACCCAACAAGGAAGTGAGGGAAGTGTCTGATTTACATTAGCACACTGTTTCTAGAGTTGATTTCAAAGTGTCATATATGTGACCATCCAACTAATTTGCCCCGGTTATGTCGGAAATCAAGTTGATCAGCCTTACCTCTTATTATTCTTTAAATTATAGTATCAACGAACTCAGCAGTTTTGGTAATTTATTGGCGTCCTGAAGAAAAAGTACAGAACCCGAAACGGTGTCTTGTGGTACAACACTTTCGACCGGTCTCCATTCGGACAGTATTCCATTTAAACTTGCTCTCTATCCTCGGCCGCGGAGGAAGTGTTTTATCCACTCGTGTACGGCACCTGTTATTCCAAAGCTCGAGAGCTTCTTAAAAAGCCCTTAGTGAGATATCGTATCTAGTGCTGTGCTGGGATTTATAAATACGACATCAACTGACAAACCAATATCAAAGGCTGTCATCCAATTGTCCCTCGCATTTGATATGTTACTCAATAATAAATGTACACTCAGAAACCTATGTTGTTCTGGGGCTAATAGATTGTTCAATTCTACGTAACTTAATGACTTAGTACAGATAATTTTTCCAAATAACTTGACTACTTGCTGGTTAGTTGGTGAAGTCGATAGTAAGACACGTACTGTCTCCTACCACAAATAAATGAGGCTAACTAGGGTAAGTTATCCTTGCTTAAGAAAGCTTTAGGTTTGAACACCCTAAATGACAAGTCGGATCTTCACATGTGCGCTAGTAACAAACGCAGACCGACCTTCAACCAGCACTCCTACGAAATTAAGTTCACTTATAACCTTGAAAAATCCGCCTAGAGACCCTCTGGGGCTGCTGTTGGCCCCAAGCCCATATAAAGGGGGAGGGTTGGGCAAGAGGTTGGTGGCTCCATCCCATCAAAAATCTAACTCACTAAACAAAGAAAACGAGAAAAATCAATTCAAAACATCTATTCTTTCAGAAGAGATATGATGTCCCATAGTGAAAGCCGGGTTCCTTCAGAATTCGTGAAGCCGATACCCCTTCTGACGGCTAGAGAAACCATTCTTTTAAATGCATGGAATGTTAGAACAATGTGGGTGTGCGGAAGATTATTCCAAGTTGCTGCAGAAATGAAAAACTCCGCCCGTAGAACCTTAGGGGCTACTGCCGGTCCCAAGATCGGATAAAGGAGGAGGGTTGGACATGGGGTTGGCGACCCCATTCCGTCGAAATCTAACTTGCCAAAAAAACGCTAACCAGAAAAAATAATTCAAACCGTTTTAACTCTGCCCTGGGAGTTGGAAGAAGAATTATGACGTCGCGTGATGAAAGCCGAGTTCCCTCGGAAGTCACGAGGCCGATGCCTCTTCTCACAAACAGAGCAACCATGTTTTTAGGTACATGGAACGTTCGTACATTGTGGGAGACTGGAAGACTATTTCAAGTTGCGGCAGAAATGAAAAGATACAACCTCGAGGTGCTCGGCATCAGTGAAACGCATTGGACACAAGTAGGACAACTGAGACTAGCTTCAGGGGAACTGCTGTTATACTCTGGTCATGAAGAGGAAAATGCTTCACATACACAAGGAGTTGCAATGATGCTGTCCAAACATGCACAAAAGGCACTGATACGATGGGAATCCCATGGACCGAGGATCATTAAAGCATCCTTCAAAACAAAGAAACAGGACATTACAATGAACGTCATCCAATGTTATGCATCTACCAATGACTACAATGACGATGTTAAAGATCAATTCTACGAAAGGCTGCAGTCAATCGTCGAGAAATGTTCACCAAAGCATTTGACGATTCTTATGGGAGACCTGAATGCCAAGGTTGGAATGGACAACACTGGATATGAAGACATCATGGGACGACATAGACTGGGAGAAAGAAACGAAAATGGTGAGAGATTTGCAAACCTATGTGCCTTCAACAAACTGGTCATCGGTGGCACAATATTCCCGCACAAACGCATTCACAAAGCTACATGGATTTCACCGGACCACACTACTCAAAACCAGATTGATCATATCTGTATCAACAAAACGTTCAGAAGGACCATGGAGGATGTGAGAACCAGGAGAGTTAGCTGATATAGCCTCAGACCACCATTCGCTGATCGCCAAAATGAAACTGAAACTAAAGAAGCACTGGACAAAGGGACAGACAACGTCACACAAGTTTAATACGGCCTTTCTTCGGGATACTGTAAAGGTCAACGAATTCAGGATAGCCCTCACCAATAGGTTCCAGGCCTTTCAGGATCTACTCA